ACCTGATTTATGTAGACTTCCCTAAATTTTATTTCAAATTCTCTCAAGTGAAATTTCATGTTGGTCAACAAATTTCTTTTTTTTTTTTTTAGTTTTAAATTTCACCACTTTGTCATACGTTGCATCTCAAATTGATGAAAAAAAATTGCATAAATGGTAATCATACTGCAAAGGAACTTCTACGATTGCGTCAAATTACCACTACTATACCATTTCATAAAAGTATTCAAAAAGGAAAAAAAAAAAGAATATTAACATTTTTATCTAAATACATTGTCAAGACTCTCATGTTTTAAGAGTGCACATAGCGATTACGGAGAAGATCAATAACAACATATTGGTCAGCTAAGAAACGATTTGGAAGACAATAGTCGTTGGAATGTGACATAATAGTGAAATTTGATGATAATTAAAGTTTAGTGACTCAATTAAGATTTTATTGAAAGTTAAAGAGTTGTAAACCCTTCATTTAAATGAAGGAAATTAACTAATGATACGTAGGCGAATTGAAGGTTCCGGGGATTTTTATTCTCCTAGCCAAACAAACTCTTACATATAATTAGTTGAAAGGAGTTGACAAAATTAGCCTCTGCCAAATAGCCAACCGTTCTGCATTCCACGTAGTTATTGTTCTAATTCTTGATTTATAGTTTTGTTCGACTTTCTCGATCTCCACCAATTCCAATTCTTTCACTTCAGGTTTCTGCAAGCTCTATTTATTCATAGCCCTTCAGAGATTCATTAAAGTAGATCCCTGCTTAGTTATTTGGTAATCACAGTTATAGTTATAAAAAACAATCTATTCATTGTATCTGGTTCTTGTACTTCTCAGTTTGATTCAAGATTTTAAGGAGCCACACTCTTTCCCGGTTGGGATTGCTTCTCTGGAGAAATCTTGGATGCCCATTTGAATTTTTTATGATTTTGTACTGGGTTGTGATTAAAATAAGATTCAGAGATTTGAATTCTTGAGGCTCTCCTGGATGGACATGGGTAAAGTTTTGGATTTTTGATTAATTTTATGCTTCATGGTATTTCGATGATTTGAAATTGTAGTTACAAAATTGCTGTTCATTGATATTACTGATTGCAGCTAAATTTGGTATGATAGTGATTGGCTGGTAAATGGTTGGTTTTCTATGGCAGTAAGGTTTCCAATGAATTGAGTGCCCTACAAGGATCTTTAATGGTAATCTTGGTTCCAATTTTTGAAGATAATTTGGTCAAATGTGGTGGTCTTGTAGCTACCTATTGAGATTATGAGTAGTTTTAGTAGAAGTGTTTCCTTTAAGCAGAGGGCTGCAAGTATTAACAGCCCCAGATTTTGTAGGAAGACTTGGGTTCCTCGCCTGTTTTGTGCACTAATTGTGATTGGTTCTTTAGTTTCCTTTTTCTTTGTTATTGGTTGTGGGTACTTATATGTCCTACCGAATCTTACCCATACGTTCCATGACCACGAGGACAGATTTTCCAACTTCAGTGGTTCAGAAGATACATGTGATGTATTTGATGGGAATTGGGTACTGGATGATAGTTACCCCTTGTACAATGCGTCGGAATGCCCTTTTGTAGAGCAAGGATTCAACTGCCTGGACAATGGTCGAACGGATAATGATTATATAAAATGGATGTGGAAGCCAAAGAATTGTGTTATTCCGAGAGTTAATGTGCAGCGTGTTTTGGAAATACTCCGAAATAAAAGAGTTGTTTTTGTTGGTGATTCGATGAGTAGAACACAGTGGGAGTCTTTAATATGTTTACTAATGACTGGTCTGGAAGATAAGAATAGTGTGTATGAAGTCAATGGGAACAAGATCACGAAACAAATTAGATTTTTAGGCGTAAGGTTCAGTTCCTTTAACTTCACTATCGAGTTCTACCGATCAGTTTTCCTTGTGCAACACTACTGGGCACCTAAACATGTACCAAGGAGAGTTAGATCAACACTTAAGTTGGACAAATTGGATGATATCAGTAGGGAGTGGATTGATTCAGATGTTCTTATTTTCAATTCTGGTCAATGGTGGGTTCCAGGGAAGATCTTTGGAATGTAAGTTCCTTCTTCCTTTAAGCATGATTTCCTCATTAGCCCATCTATTCCATTTCTATACATTTAGTGATTGAATGAAAGTGTTTTTATTAGATCATGCAGTTATAAGTAAATATACAAAAGCTCTCACTACGATCAGCTCTTCCTCCAGAAACCTCTCTCTTTATACTGTAGATAGTACAATTGAAGTTCTTAACAAGGAAAACCTTTATTCTTGAGAAAATGATTCTGTTAACTTGACTGCTCAGGATTGATTTTGTTCAATTGCTTCACTTTATCAACAGAGTTGGACAGAGGTTAAGTGTCTGGGTGAGGAATTTAAAATTGCTTAGTTGGTTACATTGAGCTAGGTGAACTTCTTAATGAGTTTTTTGGATCAAAATTGTTTTTAGGAACTTTTTGGTGTTTTCCAATTTAATTGTTGCAAAACAAAATAAAACGAAAATCTTGGTCTCACTTTCTTGTTTTGACAAAGAGCATTTTTGGCAAAGCCTAAATATAAATTAAGCTAATTAAACATATTTTTTATCCATGCATTTCTTAGGACCCACAATTTATTCCCACATTCCATAGGACCGGCAACATATAAGCACTTAAAAGCACTAAGAAACAAGCACATAATTTTGGGCAAATTACACTCACAACAGCCCAAAGCCACTAAACTGTGGTGCTTTAATGCTTTACTCCCATGTATTCTAAGATTTAACCCCACTCCCCTCCTTTTCTTCCCTCCAAGTTGAAGAGTTGGATTAATCATCTTTGGTGATGTTGCTGTTACAGCTGTTATCAGGGGCGGATGTAGTGGGAGCTGAGTTGGGTTATAGCCCAGCCTTACCCCCAGCCAATATGGAAAATTAAGAATAAACTATTCAATTTTGGCCTAAATATTTGTGTTAACCCAACTCTAGTTTGAATCCCAACCCAGGCCCAATGCTCAATTATCCAAATTTTGTTAAAGGATTACAATTATTAAATACACTTTTCATGACATTCATGAAATGTGAATATCTTATTGTCAAATTAGGTATTTTATTTAATGCATGTTTAACTAAATTTACGTATACTGATTAAGTAAATTTTATAATGGATAATTTGTATTGATCAAATCTAAAAATAAATTACTTTTTTAATAGTTAGAGACACTACATGTTTTACTAAACTGAAAAGTAATTAATTTTTTTATTTGTAAGTATATTTTCATATATTAATTATTCATACTTATAAGAAAGAATTTACGTATTTTGATCATGAAATAAATATTATGATCAAAATAAAGAACTTGCTCTAGATTTGATCTTGTCAATAAAAAGAATATTTGATAAAACTTATTTATTTATAAATTTAACTTATTTATTTATAAATTAATCTATATATAAGTATATTCTTGAAACTGAGCCAAAAAAATGGACGTGAATTAAATCTAATTTCTTTGGACCCTCAAACTTATTAATCGATTTTTCTCATTTTGGATGTGATTCCTCACTCACTATGAAATGTAGTGATATAGAAGATTGATGTTCACACGAAATAGTATTTTGAGACAATAACATTTAGTGATGTATTATTGATTGTGTGTTTCGACAAAAGCTTTCAGTTGTCTGGTAAGGTTGATCGCCAAAGTAATTTAGAGCAGTATCCATTAAATAATTTCCTAGTTTTCCATTAGTGGATATGATAATTTGCTTATTAAATCATGATTCGGTCAGTTTATATTTTTTTAAAAGTAAGCGTCGATTTCCTATTTGATAAGAAAAGATAAAAAAATCTAGTAGGACATCTTAGGGTGAGACATCTAGATTTCTTTTATGTCATTTTGTCGTACACTCTTTATCGTGAATGCATGAGTTTAGCCTCCTAAACTCAAATCTCTTGTGGCGGTATTTTTTTAAATTTCAGCATATTTTAACATCATTTTCTGGCTGCCCCGAGCTGTTACTACTCTGTTTCTTGAGGGGAATTTGTTGATGTTGTATATTTTGCTATAGTTTGGAAAGTGAGGGCGTCAAATAAAATATTTGTCATTTATGATGTATTGAAGATTATAAAAAGAATGTGTTGAGAAAATATGATTGCATTCCAGTCCATATGATATCATCAAATAAAAGGGAAATCTAATTGGTCCTAAAAGTATTTTATTTTCTACTTCTACGTGCAAATTCATGATTGCTTGGACTTGTATAATTTTTAGCAGTCTTCACGGCGTTAAAAATTTCCAAACCAATCATATATTATGTGTTATGATTATACGAAAATAGATTGCTATACTATGCCTGAAAAGGCATGCTAGCTTAAATAACATATAGTCCTGAATCTTCTGATACACAATTACATTTTTCTCCCCTTGGGTAATGACATGTAACAATTTTTATGTAATTGCTCAAAATTGTTGCATTATTGCTTAGGGATTCCTTCTGTCCTTTTTAGGTAACTTTTAACTGTCTCGCTTATAAGTTTCTTGGTTTGGGAAATTCACATTAGACTTGGACATCCTAAATCATCTTGATAGGTTTTTGAGAGTCATTTACTAATCTAGATAAGTTATAGACTCACATTTTTCATGACCAGTTGTTCAAGCTTTTGCCCATTAGTTGTTAATGGTCAGTTATATTAAGATACATAATATCATATTGTACTTTTAATGTTCTTTAAATTAATCTGTATGCATATGATGTCTGACATGTTAGTGTTGGAGAAAATAATGGCACATAAAATTTGATTAATTGGCAGCATGCAGTAATTTTTTTCTAATATAGCTAAGTAGTTTTTTGTTTCAGATGGGAGACTCACGGTGTATGGCTGTCTTTTGATGTATGTGTCAAGCTAACTTTTGAATTTCTTGTCTTGACAGGGGATGCTATTTTCAAGTTGGTAATTCACTAAAGCTTGGAATGCCAATTGCCTCTGCCTTCAGAACGGCATTAAGCACTTGGTCTTCATGGGTCGAGAGCGTGATAAATCCGAAAAGAACACGGGTCTTCTTCCGAACTTTTGAGCCTTCTCACTGGAGGTACCATGCTGCTCTTTGAACAATATTTAGCTTTCCATATTCACGCCGTAAATTTGTACTTCCCTTTGCTGCAAATGATGGTTTTCCTTGCAGTTATCTTTCATGGATCATCTTCATTGTCATATTATCCATTTTCCTTAAAATGGTACAAATTTTATTATTTTACCTTAGCTGGTATTATATGTCAAACATTGAGACAGGGATCAAATTCCTTGGGACTCGCCTCATATTACTTCGGTTGATAAAACCATAATTTTGCTTTCAAAAGTTGAACGATTTTTAACATTTTGGTTACTATAATCTTAAAAGGCTTTTGAAACTGATACTTTGTTCATTATGAAGCTGCTGCTACAATTAGTGAGCAATTTCTATTTGCGTCAGTTGCCCCTTAATCTTCTTTATTATGTATTTTGGCTCATTATGAGAGATTTATCAAAAGAATGGTGGTTTGTTTTTGCACCAGGAATCTCACTCTGAGGCAATGCAATGTCACGAAATTTCCGCTTTTAGAAGCCGGGGGAAAAGATAGTAGTCCATTTTCAAATGTAGTATTCGAGGTGGTAAACAATATGACAGTTCCTGTTACTGTTTTGCATATAACTCCGATGTCGGCATTTCGAAGTGATGCACATGTGGGTACTTGGAGTGACAGGCCATCTTTATCTGATTGTAGCCACTGGTGTCTACCCGGAGTACCTGATATATGGAACGAGATGGTCATTTCATATCTGCTTGGTAGCAATGAAACTGCTTCTACGAGTGCAAGCACAGGGTACGTTGAATTGCCCCTTTTCCTCTTTCTTAGGCAGTTTGAAGTGGTGTTTTATCGCTATGCTAATTATGGTTTGGTCACATCGTGATTACATCGTCTAATTGTATAACTACGTATAGAAGTTCCACTGACCAACTCAGTTGCAACTGAGTATGATTTCAGTCTGAACTTTTATCTCCCCTCCATGGAAAGAATACACAAGTATTGAGCAAGTTTAGATCCACCTTATCTTTTTGTGCTCTTAATAGTTTGGATGACAGGAGTGTGATATATATTGATTTTGTAAATGATTTAATGGATCTGAAACTTTACTTTCTTGAAGAGCTTCTGTAATTATTAGTGCGGAAGACTAAATTTAGTACAGATTCTTTAAAACTCATTTTCAATCCCACATTCTCTCAATAAAATAATTTGCCTAACTTATCCCTACTTTTTAACAATATATACTTCAAAAATCACTTTCCACAAAATGTATTCTCAAAAAATCTACATCAAACAGACCCTTAATAAATAAATGATTTTCCAGTCTAACACTTTAAGCTTTGAAATGAATTGGTTCACAGAAATGAAAAGTCATATTCAAATATGGCTACTATTTATGAAAATTGAAAATTGTACACGTGTCGGGTCTTTGCTAAGAAATGAATTTGGCTTGCACCTAAGATGTCATGTTGAAGACTAAATTTAAATAAATATATATGTCCCCTCTCTAAATACTTAAACTTTAAGATGAACATATTCAAAATAGCGAGCACCGTGCCAACTGCCACTGCTTCATTATCTGATTGTCTGTTGCACCTTAAATTTTTACTTCATCAGAGTTCCCAATCTTATACTTCACATCTTTATCCGGGGCACTCTCAACTATTACTTGAGGGATCATACTTATACTAGGTCTTTTAAGCATTTTGCATCATGATGTTTAGAGATGGTTTCCTATCATTTTCTTCTGGGAACATCAAACTCCAATCCTTGAAAATAATGTAAAATGATAAATGAAATAAACAAGAGAAAGGAATCATAATTATTTGAGCTGGAGGAGGAATCCTTTAATTTTTGTTTTAGATCTGATAGAATTAGTAACTGAAGCATGGATTGTATTCTTTTATGCAGATTCAAGAATGTATGATCTCTAGCTCACAATCCAGCCAAGGTATCATCCCAGTTCAAGACCAAGGAACTTTGCAGTTGTCAAAATAGCAGCAAATTTTCTACAGAGATGTATAGTAAAGACGAGCGGAAGAACTTGTTAAGAAACTGATTTTGTTTGTTCATTTTTCAATTCTTTTGTCCAACAAAAAGGGAAATGTATCAATTGTTTTGTTTTCTCCTGATCAGAATTTTTTTTATATATATATATATACTGTTGTAATACTAACTACAACAGCAACTGTTAGAAATGTGAAAACCATAGTGTCATTTCTTACAAGTTTTTGCAAGTACCATCTCTTTGGTAAACTATCTGTCCGTTTTTGCTTGCCATTTTCATTAGTTTCTTTTAATAATGATATAATTTCAGGATACTAAGGCCAAAAATTTAACCTCGTTAAAAATGGTCACCATCTGTTTCAATTATTTTTCTCATGAAGAAGTGATCAACTGCATCATTTGTCGAGTTGGTTAAGCTAATACTAACTCGACACTACAATTTTGCAGTTTTCCACTCAAAATTTGGTGTAGTTGGACGAGGTACGTACGTGAACATTGTCGAGTTACCAACACGAGGAAGTTGCAAAGTTATTACGATATAGTAGCTGGCATTTCTCACGATATCCTTATTAGGCATTTTAAGGAATAAATTAATAGCACGACCATGGTTGTGGTCATTTCCACGACCACTGTTATATAGTTGCAACATCGATTCATGCCATGGTTATTTTATTCATGATTAGTATCACGATTGTTGGAAGCAAGAAGGGTAGTCTGTATGGTGATATACTTATAATCGTTTTTCACGATTGAGAAGTATACTTTATATTTCTTCAAAAGAGGATATGGTGGACATAGTATACTGCATTAACAATCACATCATAATCAAGATAAGTTGAATAAGAGAGTTCATCTGTGAGCATGCAAATATGATCCATATATTTCGTAATGGAATATGAACCTTTGCAAATACTAAAGGTAATGCTTAATCCGGTAATATCGAGCATTAATTTGAGAGGTAATTTGGATACATACATGTAGTTTGTTGCTTCTTATGGCGAAGTGAAAGTAAATTACTTCATTACTTCCTTGGTAATAAAAATAATTCCGGACTTTGAGTAATGTTGATTTATGTTGCTCTGAAGTCGACATCTGGCGATGATTACTAGTGTGGCCTTTTCAAAAATAAATTGCACGTTTCCACCTCACAAAATTGTACTGCCATAACAAACTTCGTCGTGGCAGAAATTTTTCTCTTTCAACATCATACTTAGAAGTTGTTTCGTGAAAATTAAAATTTGATTTTTCTTAGATTGTGATAGAAGTATTTGAAATGTGTGGTAGAAAAGTTGTGGAACCCATTAAAAATGTGGTTAAAATTAATTGTTTGACTTTGATTTGCATTAAAATCAGATTTTAATTCGAAACAAACCGGTGTTCACTTTATCTGGATATAGAATTTCACTCTGGCACATTAACATTTGGCATTTACCTTTTTTTTTTATTATAATTATACTCTTTTTCTCTCATCCATACTTTTTGCTGTCTCTTCCTCACAGAGACTGGTTTCTGGTTTTATTTTTTTTCACAAATCAAGAAAACCCTAACCCTAAAATACTCTTATTTTCGAATCGCGGATGATGTTAAATGTTTTATTTTTTTCAGCTGATGCTACTGTTTATGCCTTCATTACACCTTGATTCGACGCCGCCGCTATAAATTGCTGTAAGTCTGTAACAACTCCCTTTCTCTCTCTCTCTCTCTCTCTGTACAATAAATATGACGCATTTTATAATATATATTGGTCCCCATGCCGTTATATGTGTGCGCGTGAGTGCATTTGTTGTATGCATGATTTTTTTTTTTCACTTTCATGTAATAAAAATGATTCTAAGAAATGAAGCTGTGGGTTTGGTTTGTGTTGGATTGGATTGGAGTCTATCGGATTATAGTTCGAAATGAACTGATTATCGAACTGGTAGTTTTATTTTAATTTTTTATTAGTGATGCATCAGTAAATGTCATTTATTTCTGTGTAATTTGTTCTCGTGTTTTCATGGAGAATGGTTCAATTTGAGTTGAAGTCGGGGCCATAAGCATTCAAGTTTCCCTGCTTCTCTTAAACCCGGTTTCGTTGAAATGTTGGAGAGCTGCATTAATAAGTTGTGATAAGGATTGAATTATAATGGAAGTAAACACATGGTCAAAGTTAGAAAAAGGCGAAATAGACAGTAGCATGATAATAGACGAACTTTTGATGAGAAAAGATCGAAGTTGGTAGGATATCTTCAGCCACCTCGGGGTTGAAGGTGTTGATTAATATTTATCATTTTCCAAGTTGGGGGGGGTGGGGGGGGGGGGNTTTAAAAGATTTCAACAAGAAAATTAATAGCAATTATAAAATTAAATCTATATTATATAAATAAAAAATTTAATCAACGTGTCGTCTACGTATCATGTCAATACTTTTTTTAAAAATCATGTCTCCACGTGTCCGATATGTGTCATGTTGTGTCGGACACACTTATCCATATCAGTGCACCGTAGCCTTTATGTTATTACTACTATTTTTCTTTTTTGTGATGGTAGAAACTAGCAAGAATAATTAATATTAATTTTTGTTGTTTTTTATGTTTTAATAATGTTGAAGAAGATTTGATCGGCAATTTGGTTTAAACAGGATTGACAGTTCCAATATAAAGTCTCAACCAGAAGTGGGACTTGTGTGGTAAAGTCAGATAGGAATGCTCTTAAATTCAATTTTTAGTTTCTTTGCTTATATGAACTTTTTCGCTCCAGATGTTCTTGCCAAACTCAATTTGTGTAGCGAGTTGGTCGTTGGACGTCAAATTTACTGCTGTGTGCTACTGTGCTTTACATGAATTAGTTCAATGTTTTCATGTTATTCCTGTGGTTTTTCTTGCAGCTACTTGCACTTCTAAAAGCCTACTGTCTTGCACAGAAGTGGCAAGAGCCGGAGTATGCAAAAGTAAGTTGCATGATTTATAGTAGAATTGTATGTATCAGAGTTTTACACATGTTTGTCATTTGCAGATTCCACCAGCTAGTGCTTGTCTTCCTAGCATGTTCATAATTCATTTTTCTTTGTTACTTCCTCTTTTGTGGAAATTGATATTGGATGCAAAGTGCAATGGTTAAACTATTTATTTCCATTCCTCTTTTAGAATTTAGAATCTTCCCAGGTGCTGATTATTTAAAATGGGTTGCAGCCTACCGTGAGAATCCCAAATAGAGAACTTGGCTTACTTCTAGTTCAGCAGGTCTTTTGGGGAAATTATGATTTATTGTATTGGGACTTCTACAGTTCGAATGAGTCATTGTACTGGTCAAGCATATTATCAATTAGATATCTACTAATATAGCTACAGACTCAGTCCATTAGTACGTCTTTCTGCCCATCCTAAATAAGATAAAAGATGTGTAACTGCTGCTTCAAACATACATTTAACTTGTAAATAGTCGACGTCGATCTGATGTTCTCTTTGCACCCCTCTCTGATTAGCATATCTCTGTTCCTTGTGAACTGAGAAAGGAGAGTTAGGACAAAATTTCACTATTGGATTATTCCATTTTTCACTCATGAAGGTCCTTTCATTGTTTCACCTTTAGTACTTCTGATATTGGAGCAAGTAAAGCTTTTGCCTAATATATTTTTACCTAGTAAGGAATTTGTGTTCAACTTTGGATATAGGGTTTACTTGGATGCGCCAGAAGATTCCCATCCATTTGTTCAATAGCTCATGAAATGAAGCGAAGGAATAACGAAGTACCTAGGAATTCCAGAGGTTTGCAGGGTGAGAGCCCAAACTGGGTCCTTATTGCAGGCGGTGCTCTGTTGAGTACATTGTCAATTCGCCTGGGTTATAAGCTGAAGCAGGTCCTTGACGCCAAACAACCTGAAACTAGTAGCAACCTTTTAAAAGGTATTATAATGCAATATATTTGTGTTGTCACAAAAAAAAAGATTTCATTAGATCTTTTAGGGGATGTAGCACTAGATCGAACTGAGTGGCGAAAAAGGATTCATGTAGCCAACTCTTAGTTTATGGGGAATAAAGCTTAAATTGTTCTTGTTGCATTTAAATTTGTTGTATGCTCTTAAAAAGTTGTTTATAATGTAGGAAATGGAAAATCTACTGACAAGAAGTCAAGGAACAGCCATTTGCATTCAAATTCTTATTATTTTCCTCGAGATGGGAATGGTTGCCACAATTGTTATTCAGGTTCAAACTTTCAGTCCTGATCCTATCCTTGGTTTGTTCAGAGAGTTAAATTAGTTTCTAATGGAACTCATACATTTTACTGATTTTTCTAGGAGATGTAATGAGATATTTCATGTGAGAGTGGATAAAAGTTTGTTCTCTCTTATCAAAAAGTATGCATATGTCACACTCTAATTCTTTATGTGATTTCATGGAACAGGATCTGGAAACGCGGTGGAAATCAAACAACAGTGCAATGGCCAAATAGTTACCGAACCTGAAATAGCACTTCCTTTAGTCGCTGTGCCTGCTTCTGAGTTTAGCAAAGAGAATGGTGCGATCTGGGCATCTTCTCCTGATCGTCTTGAGCTGCTTCAGAAGCCATTCCACCGGTCAAACAGCTCAGATTCGCCATGTGTCTCAGAATCTGGTTCTGATATTTTCAGCAAGCGAGAAGTGATACAAAAGTTGAGACAGCAGTTAAAGAGAAGAGATGACATGATATTGGAAATGCAGGATCAAATTACTGAACTTCAGAACTCTGTTAGTGCTCAGCTTTCGCATTCTTCCCTTCTCCAATCGCAGCTGGATGCTGCTAACAGGGATATATTCGATTCAGAGGGGGAAATACAGAGATTAAGAAAGGCAATTGCTGATCATTGCATGGAGCATGTGAATTCTAGTGACAATTCCCCTACGGTTCCTGCATGGCCTACCGGAGGCAGGAATGGCCATTCAAATGGATATCTTAAAGTTGAAAGTAATTTGGAGTCCTCGGAAAAAGGGGGAGGAGATGACGGAAAAGTTGAGATGCTGAGACGGGAAGTGAGTGAGTTAAAGGAAATGATAGAGGGAAAAGAATACTTGTTGCAGAGCTACAAGGAGCAAAAGGCTGAGCTATCAGAAAAGATCAAAGAATTGCAGCAGAGATTGGATTCGCAACTTCCACATTTTTTGTAGACAGTATTGGCTTCTTGTGCATTCTTGTTTTGCTTCATTCTTGTGTTTCTCTGTTTCTTATCTTATCTCTAAGTTCCCAATTTTGGAGTAGCTCGTCTCTTGTTCCTTTCATTGAATTTTTTTGTTTTCTGCTTCTTTTTGTGCATACGTGAAAATAGAGTAGGAATAAGTTGTTCAGAACTTTTTAGAGGTCAAATCAACCCGGGGTGAAACGATGTTTTGTACTTCGAATACATTCAGTCTTCAACTTGCAATTCTAAATTTATCTGTGTAAAAAGGGGTTGCACTCTAGCTGTTTCCAATGATTTCAGCATAATGAGCAACGTTCTAGATACAAGAAACTATGTATAGTATGAAAAATTAACATTGTTTCATGATATTGGATTTTGGTATCAAAGTACAGTGCATCTAATTTTAAAGCTTACAATCTGCAAATGGTTTGTATGAGCTATATTTTTGGCTTTTTGCACGTCACTAATAGGTGGCCATATTACCTTTGAATTTTTGAGTTCTGCGAGGTGATCTCCATTTCTTGGATAACCTATTATTTTTCTTTGTTCATTTTCGACTAGCCATTTAATTTTCAGCGCTTCCGTAGTCCTTATATATTTGTTTCATATTTATAATGTTTGCTCTAGTAGATCGAGTAATAAACTGAATAGAGTGTGAAAAAGGATATATGTGGCTCATTTTCGCTCGAGTTTGATGTTGCATAAGGTCAATATTGCTGTATGAAATATTTTAGGCAGCTTTTTTGAATAGCAATTCTTGTGAAGGCCAAGTTCAATAACTTGGTAACAACCATATGTTCTGATAAGCATTGTATAAAATATTGAAGATATGTTGGTACATTGGATAGGGGGAAAAGTATGAAAAAGGAGGCATTCAAGAAAATTTGTTAGTTTACGTGAAATCATTTTTCGCCTACCATAAACATATTATAAGGGTTGTCATTATTTTTTACGTTGGATGACCTAGATGACTTTTATCCAAACTATTTTCTTGTGGACTACTGTGTCAGAATGCCACATTGAAGAGTGTCACTAATCTTAAACGTACTTAAATTTGAAAGTATGTAGATGTTTTTCAAGGAAAGTTACATTTAAGCCTAGTCAATTGACATTCATTAAGTCAAATATCAATTGACGTTCATTTAGTCTCTACTAGACTGATTAACAAACTGAATTCAGAAAAGATACGAAATCCCTCCTGGAATTTACTAAAACGAAAACAATAATCATAGCAGGACATCACAAAACAACATCACAGATTTGCTTCAGGCCATCTTCTCTTATTCCAATTTCAGGTGGATAAACCAATCCTGGATATCTCTGAAATTCATTATGACATGCATTGGGATAATCTGCAGCTGCCATTACATGCATGTAAGCATAATCATATAATTCTGCACCCATATCTTGAACTGAATTATGCAGTGCATCACTTGCAGAGACATACTTATCAGCACATTCCTTGATGATTTTCTTCATTAATGTGTTATTTGTGGCGTTCAGCATTTGGGAAGAAAGGTAAGAATTGGCGGCTGTGGCATTGGCCATTCCAATTCTAATCATAACAAGGGCTAAGTCCTTGGTGTCTGCTTTTGGACTGGTGGAATCAGATTTCAGGGAAGATAAACAAAGTTCATAGTATTTTGTGCTTTTGCAAGTCTTTTGGATCAAATCCGAGTTTCCATCCACAGAAACTGTTGGATGTAATGAAATTGGGAGAAAAAAGAGCAACAAAAACCCCATTGCACTGTGATTTTAGTGGGAGAGAGAGTTTACTATGAATATGCAGTGTAAATTGGGGTTTTTTTTTATGATGTTTTCTTGAATTGAATGCAAGAGTTTGCTTGGAAAAGGTTATATGATTAATGTTCATTGGAAGCTGGCCAGGAACCAAAATAAGTCACGGATCACATCTTAAAAAGGACAGACCCTCTTGAAGTGTATTTTTAATTCAGGTCTGCAGATTTCTTTTCGAATGATGTTATTTATCATTATGATAATGGAATATCGGTGATGTGACAGTTTATGTAAAATAATGCGATTGGTCAGTTCTATTTTTATGAGAAAGAGGGAGAGGAGAGAGATGTTTCATCATCGTGATGATAAATATTATTACTTTTTTTTTGGACCAAGCGTTTTCTTCATACCTAAACGGACTCTCATTCATATGAGTGAGCACTCTTGGTAGGAAACCAGAAGAGGGAATTGTTGGGTTTTAATGACTTCATTCAATCAGCAGAATTACAAAGAAGAAAATGCACCAACAATTGCAAGAAAATTGACAGCAGATAACTGATATAAACCAGCAAGAAAAACAGAATATAAACAGGAAGAAAACCTCTTCCTAACAATTTATTACCAAAGCTAAAACATGATTTACACACTTGAAATCATACAAGATTTATAAGAATTTTACCATTCTTATACAATCTCACTTTCTATCCCTCTTTCACTCTTGAAAGCCTCTTCTTTACCAAAGTTCCTCTTCTACCAGAGCACCCCTTTCTGTCTCGAGCTCCCTTCATTCATACATTTTCGAGCTCTATCCTTTACACTACCTAAGGCTCCTATTTATAGGCCTAAAGGAGGCTCCATTTCGGTTATTAACTACCAACAACAAAGGCTCCAAGTTGTTGAAGATTCCACCAGAAAAACTGTAAATGAGGCTCCTCTTTGCAACTAATTTTATTCCTTAGCTTTTGCAATAACTAAGGAATCTTCAAGAAATCACTTTCTTACCGGAACAATAGACCAAAATTAATGCGGCCCATTGTAGTTTCAGAGTATAAAGTTTTAGATTTTTCAATAGATCTAGTTTTAGTAAGCGCTCTTAGTTTTTAATGGGTTTTTTACCGTTGTATTTCTAGGGCCTCGAAACTTGCTGGTATTAGACAAGGTGATCCGCGAATTTTTATTGGTATACAAGATATAAATCTTTGGACATGATTTGCTTTCTTGTCCATCTTCATCACAAGTATGCAATGTATGGGTAAGAAAATGAAGTAACAATTTGTTCATATTTGGATTCAGACAAGACAAGCCAAAGCTTGTTGCCACGTGAACTACAAAAGAAATATTTCAATACCAACTTGCATCGAAGCTCTTCAATTCTAGAAAAAACTGAAACTCGTCGTTCAACCCGTTTCACTTGCGATTTATTAGGAAAACCTAAATAGATTACTTTCGTATGGACTTCTATAAAGGCGTTAGTAACATCGTGATTGAACTGAACTTATTGCAGTACGAGTAAATAATCTATTTGATTTCAAATAATAATGTTTCGATAATAGTAACGCAACACATTCTTTTTAAGAATGCATCTAGTGCGATCTTTCTTTTTCAAGTTTTTCGACGAAATCAACATATTTTCTTTCTTTTGTGAGTCGCATTATTCTAGTTCTCATGTTTTGGGAAAGCATCCAGTCTGTCTCTTCAAATCATAGGTCATCTTAAATGGGACTTGTGTCCTCAAATTTAAGATGATCTATCATTTCATGACATTTTGAAATTAAAATGACCTAATTGTAACTGTACAATGAACTGAGTCCACGTGGATTAACACGTAAGCAAATATTAATTTTAACGACCATTGCACAAATAAAGTGGTTTAATTGTTGTTAAAATGAAATTAAGTGACAAATGAGTGTTGCTAATTGAAGGTCTCCTGGGATTCTGCTAATGAGTAAGGCCTTTTATCGACTGGGTTCTTTACACCCCCCCCCCCCCCCCCC